CATTTTTGCGTTAAATCAATTTATGGAGAAGGACATTTTAAATTTCCACAATGTTAAACATTTTTACTTCGCATCAATTTAAATGGAAGGAGATTTTAAAATTCCAAAATGTTAAACATTTTTACATAGTTCCCAATGTTTGTCGATTTTGAATTTTAAAACATCGCGTATGCTATCTATATTAGCATTGTAGGAATCATTGTCTACATTAACAGACTTATTTTGACTTTATATGCAAATCGGATTCAGCATTTTGTGAAAAAACATAATTATTTTATAGTGTGTGTCAGTAGAGTACAAGTGTGTATTTACGAAATTATTATTCGAGTTTCTTTGATGCCATTTTTTATCAACCAACCAAGCCAAATATATCACGGGAATACAATACGTATATCGAACTTCATTTTTCGGTTTAAATTGGTTATCATTCCGTAATTCATTTAATGATGGTTTTTGGAAAAACAATCTACTTTGGGCTGAGAAGAGCAATTGTTAATGCTTTGGGTAAAAAAACTTGCGCAGTATCTGAAGCTACAGTTCATTTAATATGAAATAAAACTAGACTTCCTAAAAAAGCCTTTCATATTGGCTCGATTTATCATATGGTTTTACAATTTGGCTTAAAATGTTCTGAAAATATCGTTTGGTACATAAATATGACAGGATATTTAACACGGTGTCTATTACTGTGATTACAAAGTTTATTGGACTGTTAGATAATCTCAATATTTACACGACGGTGATTGTAGCTTATGTAAAGTTTTGTGGGTAAAATAATTTTCCTTCCTTATGTCTGCCGTGATTTGTTTAACGCAATATTTGGGATAGACTAAAAAGGCTACAACGTATTATGTAAGTTTCAGATGTCCTTTTTTTTAGGTGGTTATACATCGAACTTATCGAAGTTTTAAATTTTAAAGAAAAATATTATTTAAATTGTCAAAACGTTAAGCATTTTTATACAGTAACCCGTATTTTGCAAAATGCCAGGTTTAAAACTCAGCATATGCTGTGTGCGTTATATGTTATTGGCATTGCATGAAACTCGGTTGTTTTGTACAATTCTGGCTCATTGCGCTCCTGTAGCTAATTTGAGATTCAGTGTTGCATAAAAAGCCTACATTTATTGGAAATGAAATTTTGAATCATGAGTTACCATGTATCTCTTTACATGATACTGATTTTGAAACTTCTTTTTACAAATATTACATAAGAACGGACGTTTCCCTGTGTGGATTCTTATATGCTTCTTTAAATTGCCCCCCTTTATGAGAAGTTGCATAACTGCAATATGGACAGGACCATGGACATTCCTCAAATGATGCAAGAAGTAATATGTTTTCGCAAACCACAGTTTGATTTCTATATGATGAATCTACAGGGAAAAGTTTTAATTTTAATGTTATGCGTACTTTAATTAAATGATAAACATAATTCATTATAAGGTATAAAATAAATCAACAAGGCATTTCTGACTTCGTAAATAACGTATTATGTACTGCTATTCAGAAGTATTGTAACACTAAAAAAGTATGTTTTATAGCTGAAACTGATGCACGGGTATCATGAGAGAAGCAAATAATTAAAATTAAGTTGTGGATGCAAACAGCATTAAGGTCTTAATTGAAGGATATTTTAAGAAGACTGCAAAAGTAAATCTTAATCGCTGGAAGGTTTGTAAAAGATTTTCTAAGCCCAAACTTCGACAAACTCTATAAAATTGTCCTAAATATGTGGATAGAGTCTTTATCAATAAACTACGCGTAAGAAGAGCAAACAATTATTATTATAGATAGGCTGCAAAACTGAGGGACAGAAAATCAGGAAAAACCTTTCGGATATCATTTTCTTCCCGTTAATACCCAACTATGTAGTTTTAATACCCAACTATGTAGGTATAAATAGTTGGGTATACCTACATAGTTGTCAATCACTATACCGTTAAATTAAATTGTTGTTGGACTGAAAGCACAGTTCCACGCAGAGCGAGGCATCTTTGAGCACAACTAAAGGAATCTAAAATAGGAAAACTCGTAGAGTTTAGAGTACGTGTTTCTCGTGTTGTAAAATCGCATCACTTGATGAAAGGCAAAGGACAGAAAAAATTTCAATGCAATCACCACAGAATGAAAGAAAGATCGGCAGGAGTGTCAGAATGTTTAGATATACACCAGTATGTATGATGGAGATTAGTTACTTCACTAGCATTAGCAGACCATAACGCACCGCACGACTTCTTTTGACCTTCTATCGACCTTCAGAGACTGCAATGTTGTAAAACAGTGTCTAAAACTGAAATTGGGTGTCTATCAAAAACAGTTAACGGGCCAGAACACTTTTTTTAAGAAATTTTTTTAATATTTTTTAACAAAATACAAAATACATAAACTAAATTTTAAGTTTTACTTACTGAATATTTATCAAAACATTCATAAACAATAATAATAATAAGAGAAAAATTTCATATTATTTTTTCCCTCCGAAGTCTAAAAGTTGCAAGAAATTTTTATTGGTTCTACTTTGTAATTTTAACGTATTGACAGCTAAATTTTAAATTTTAGACAGGCATTTATACCAAGTAATTTCGGTATGTTGAATTAATCACTTAAAGTCCCACTAGACGCCGAGCTTTAAAAGCCACTAAACACTGGCAGTTCAATCCAGGGTTCGAATCCCGCGAAAAGGCTGGCTGCATATGCGATTTCGTGCTTTTTCCTATGTGTAATTTCAACCATTTTCATTTTTGTACGATAATAAGCCGAGATATTAATTAAAAACCCGAAAAACAGAAATTTTGAACTCATTCTTCAGCGCGATAACAGTCTCGGGATAAAAATGCTTTTTTACTTCCTTGTACGAAGTAAAAGGGAAGTATTGTAATCGCGAAAAGCTTCAGGCAGCATATTTCAACGCAAATATCCACTTTGACCGCTTTCGAATGCAATTTAACAATGTTTTTGCGTGATATCTAAAAAAAACTCCAAAAAAAACTAAAAAACTTCTTTAAAATTAATTCTGAAGAGAATTTTTCGTGGCGTCTGTACGAACGTATGTACGTACGTATCTCGCATAACTCAAAAACGAGTAGCCTCAGAACGTTGAAATTTCGTATATAGGTCTGCTATAACAGGTAGATGTGCACCTCGTATTTTGGTTGCAATCGGCCGCACCAAACGTATATAAATATATTTATATATATATCCACTCTGTTACCCGGCTCAGTGATCTCAGTTTCTTTACTCTTATATGTTTGTAAATTGTACATTTTTTGCTTTAAAAATCATTGAATTATGTTGTTCTTATCTTCCGGTTAAGTTTTTTTGCCTTTAGTAAATCTGTATGCAATAGTTTTAGAATTATCAACAGTTTTAAAGTTTTTTAAGTGCCGCTTTTTAAGTGCCTAATAATGTTTTTGACGGCGGCCATTGCTCTTGTTTACATTTGAAACAGCAGGATAGCGGATTTGTTGCCAATCTAGCAAAACTTAGCTTCGCAACAACAAAGATAACGCCTTCATTTATTATTTAAATCATGCTTAAGCCTTTCTGGAATTTTTTCGAGGAAATAAGCGTTTAAGATTTACTTCGTAATTTTTAATACAGATATTTTAAGTTTTTATGTATTTTTGCCTTGTCGCGAAGTGAAAACTGAATTAATTGAATGAGAAATACTCAATCGTCTATGAAAAACTGTTTCTTTTTTGTTTTGTTTGCTTAATTTCTTTTATACATAGTTGTAGCTTTATTATAGTATTTGAATAGAACATGTGGCAACGATTAGATAATTCTTTAAATGATATAAATTTTGTGCATTCTGAGTTATAATATGAACGAAATATAATACTGTTAAGTAAACCTAGCGCCAGAGTGTCGCTATGGTAAACAAAGTGAATTTTAAAGAATACATTTATTCTATCGTGGTTTATGCGCTGTCGGCGAAGTAGATTTAATTCAATCTAATAAGTTTAAATGAAATGCAAGAAAAAAATGCGTATAATTTAATATTCCGTACAAGGAAGTCATGTGGTGTACACATCAGGTTTTTTCGAAAAGTGTTGCCACTGCTCGCTTTCACATCGTAATGTTTATTAATCAAAAAATTGTAAGTTTTACTATACATGAAATAAAATTAGCATTGCAAAACATTAAATATGTTATTATTATATAGAGTCATATTCTGACGTTGAAGAAAGCACGCCGTGATTGCATGTGACGTCAGTATATATCGAAAATTTTTAGTATTTTAAATAAATAACTGCTGTTGGCAGCTTTTTTGTTTCAGGTTAGGGTAATTGATACGGTATGTTATTGCCACGTTAATTCTTTTATTGATATTTAGAAATTGTTGTTATATTACATTAAATTGAAATCATGACGTCATAGGTATTAACTGAAATGTCAAAAGCTTTTGTTTCCTAGTTTGGTTTTAAAAAAAAAGGTATTTACGAATTGGTTATTACTTAAAAAGAATGAACTGTTTCCATTCATACTGAAATGTTTTTATGCATTTTCTTTTCAGGTGAACATATAAAGTATAAATTTTGCTTTGGCCGCAGCCCGCTTATTTGGCAGGCTTGCCCGCTAGTTAATGAATTAAAGTTGCGGTAGTAATTCTTGTAAAATTTAGTTCGAAAATTTTATTTCTTTTGAAATTTGAATACTCGAAAAATTTCAAATTAGTCTCTAAAATATATAAGATCTGACATTGGTAATTTAAAATGTATTCTGCTTTATGATTTCATTTCTTAAGATAAACCATGCACAGAGTGTTAAAATATCTTCCTTTTAATGGCCTTTAACTTGGGTATTCGCACATAGCTGAACGTATTTTCGTTCGAGTGAAACTTAATATATTAAAATTTAAATCTCCATTTGTACCACTTTACAGTTTTTCGAATTTTTATTATTTGGATTAACTCGAGTTATTATGTTTAACAACATACTAATTAACTTGAAAATACATTTCAATATAACTAAATGCATTTATTCTTTTTTAGAAATCGTAGATAATGTGAAGAATTCCCAACGAACTCCATTTCGACCTCTTCTGGAAAAAGAATCCTGTGACGAAGAAGTCATTCATATGATCAAGAAGTGCTGGACAGAAGATCCTACAGAGAGACCTGATTTCCAAGCTCTTAAATCGATCATTAGAAGACTTAACAAGTAATTAACACAACTTTTGACTTCTATATACGAAATTTTCTCTTCCAGTCGCAATTCAGTAATTAACTGCGTTGTTGATTTATAGTGACCATAAAATGAATTAACGTCTGCTTGAATAAATATTACGAGTATTTGAAACTAAAAGAATGAAATGCATTTCAAATCTGGAGCGTATAAAACTTCTCAGCATTTTTACCAAAAGAATCAATAATACGTTGTTTCAATAATTACTGCGCTGAATCAATAATGCTACGCTGATATTTTTAACTTGCAATCCAGCACAACTTCTTAGCGCAAAACGAATGCCGCTTAAAAATGTTTTAAATTTATCTCTAACTTTTATGTGCTCGATTTGAAGTACATGAAATTGGTGTAATATACTGCCTTTTAAAATAGCAAAATAGTGAATTAATTAATTCCTAATTCTTAAAAAAAGTTATAATGAATCCGTTAAATCATTGAAAAGTGTATTTTATTACGAAACGGAACTTAATTTGTGAGGGAATCGGAGGTAATTCTTCAGTTTGTTTCATAACTGTCAAATTGACAGCTGAATTTTGCAGTGGAAAATTGCTTTGTGAAGATAATCCATGCTGTGGTCGTTCATCCACATCACAGAAAAAATGGTTGCCAAAGAGACAAAATTGCGATATCAAGTAGGCGAATGGCTATTAGGCATGTAGCAGAGATTATGTGTATTTTACTTCGCAGCAAGTAAGTGGTGTTAAGAAAATAATTCGTGGTGGCAAATGTCCAACAAGACGAGTACATCGAATAGTAACGCAGGCAGAAGAAGGATATTGTGTGAGGATTTTGGAGGAACGTTTGTCAATGTTTCAGATTGTCCATAAGTATTTTCGTACGAATATGTGACCAGAGATAGTATAACACACCAGTGACTGAGCGATAAAATCGTTGAACACTAATAGTTCAATCTGAGCTCAAACCGGGCCAACGAGCTGGCTGCTTAGAAATTTAGCCCAAGTCGCCATGAGAATGTTAAATTTCCAGCCAAAAGTACCTGATATAATATGACTTCCTAGCATAGTCACTTTAAAATCTTGGTTTACTCTAAGAACCATACGGGTCTGTCTCGCTCGTCGCCAGAACAATCTGAGTAATCACTGAGTAACAATCACTGAGTAACAGCTTCTATTACGTTTGTGTGTTATGTAGGAAGCGCTAATTATTTTGAATACACTTTTTAAATTTTTCTAACATTCTGTATTTTTTAAAACTTTACTAATATTCCTGACATACATTTTCTTTTATCATTCCAGAGACAATGACAGTGGTAACATTTTAGACAATTTGTTATCACGAATGGAACAGTATGCGAATAATCTAGAAGCTCTTGTTGAGGAAAGAACAGCGGACTATTTGGAAGAGAAAAGGAAGGCGGAAGACCTCTTATACCAGCTTTTACCAAAGTAAGAGGAAAGGACTTTCATTTGTTTATTTCTTTTTATTGATATTAGTAAGACAGTCAAGATGTGTATCCAACTCCCCAATAAGAAGACGTGAATTCCACGAAATTTTTGTAATATATGAAAACAGCAACGTATATTCATGTAAATATGGAAACTAAATTCTACACTTTTATTTGTATAGATTCTTTCAGTACATTAATTTGTATATATTGCTTTTACATTAATTTACTGGCCATCTATCCTTTCTGACTAAAAAAGGAACCAATTTCTTTTCAACAGACGTTTTGCAGCTCGAAAGCGTGAAGAATTACGACATTTTACTAACCAATTGTAAAATTTTCTTTTCATATACTTTCTGGCCAAACTAAAATCTACTCAGTAACCATTTTGGAAGCATTTCTTCCTGATAAGGAATAGATTGAAGCCACATATTCTGACGTCCCTTTCTTCTTAAGCTCATTGCAATACCACACCGCTTACAAGGACATGTAAACTTTTCTGCTAGATCTGCTAATGGTTTAAAAAATGGGCGTTTTCACTTCTGGTAAACCTTGTTCCACAGTATTACATGGCAAACCCTCACGCCGTTCTTCACATGTGCTTCTTTTAATGCAGCACTCGGTTACGGTAAGTTTTTAACTTGCTCTGTCCATTTTTCAGACTATATTTTAATTCAAGCATTTGCTGTTTCAATTGAACTAGTACCTTTAATTTTGAATTTAGACCTTTGCAAAGCTACACTCGTTTTTGGTCGGTATCTTGACTTGCTCTGTTCCCATTTTATTTTTTCAGATCGTATTTTCATTTTATTTATTTTTTACTAATTATTTAAAATTTCACTTACATTGTATTCACGTTCAATTAAAATTTACACCTTTTTCTAAAACGTTTTTTCTTCAGTCCTTTTCGAAACACTTCTTTTTTTAAGTTGTAAACAAGTTTTTAAGTTGTCTCTTTTATTTACTTTAACTGAGACTAATATCTTGAAATTTGTATTTTTTTTTTACTTTTTTACATTGTAAGACTTTTTCATATGTTCATAGGCTTTTTCAATTTTATGTATTTTCTTTTTACAGCACGTTTTTCTAACTTATTTTTAAAAAATATTTCACAATTCATATTTTTGTGTTGGAGAGTTAAATCAAGTAGAGAAAAGAGACAGTTCCAATGAGACTCTTAATTCTACTAAGTGCAAGGGCTAAAATTTTAAAGGTGAAACCTATTTATATACAACTAATACGAAGGCGATATGTCTATGAAACATTTACTTTCCTTCGATATAATCACTCAGCAATATGGGAAATCTTAGAATATCTGCAAAAGCTTTGTTCTATTCATGATTCGAAAGGAGCAAAATAGAAACTGTGGGAAAATATAGAAACAACTGCCATAAAGGGATTCTTTCATCTTTAGCAACCAAATCATAGTTACAGAGATTTTAAGTCCTAGGTATATGGCACACTTTAGAGGACTTCCTCTGCTCATCAAGCGAAGAAATCAGATACAGTTTATTATTTAAGTATTGATTTGTAAAATGACTGGAGGATTCTGCAGAAGTGTTGCCTTTTCTTTTTCATTCTTATTCATGCATATTTAAATCTCATTGCTTTTTTCATGTTGGTCACAAATTATGTTCCAAAACTGAACATTAATTCTGTACATTTTTTATTTGTACTTGAGTTACGGCATGGATTAGGGTATTGCCACAGTGGAGCATGAGAGTGCACATAACTTTCATGCTATTTTTAATGAACTTTTGATTACTTTTATAACTAATTTATTAATTTATAATCTTTTTAATATTTCTTTTCTCCTTCTTTTCCGCATGCCTTCGTGGTGTAATTGAAATCATACTGGACGCGTATTCGATAGGTCCAGGATTAAAGTCCCGGAGAGGGCATTGCACATTTTTCACATTTTCTGCCACTAAAAATACTAATGACGTTACGCGTGGCGCCCAAGCGTAAAGGTGGTGGACAATAATTCGTCACCAGGATTTGGCGATTGCGTCTCCTAATACCCAGTCGTTCTTTAAAAGCGGGAGTATAAAAGGTGTTTTTCCCCTCCTTTTCCGCATGCCTTCGTGGTGTAACTGGAAGCATATTCGATGCATATTCCACAGGTCCAGGTTTCGAGTCCCGACGAGAGCATTGCCCATTTTTCAGGTTTCCTGATATTAAAAAATCTTAATGGCTGTATACTTTTATGCCGCATATTGACAGCGTTCATTAAGTTTGAATTTCGATTTTACAGCTCACTATTCTTGTTTCTAGATTATCATGGTTACACAATTTTAAACAACTAAATATTACGAGACCTAATTCTTCTCTTTATGGAGCATATGTGTAGCACTGAAAAGAAGAGTCCATTGATTAGGAGATAGGTTCTTCGAAGTCCTGAAGACTTTCCTCGGATTAGATTACTGCATAGCACTTTTTCCCCGCTTGATTTGAGACCGTAGTTCAGATTATCCTTTATCAACATATGCCATCTTTTTATCGGGACTTCCCATCAGCATTTTGAAATAAATGTTGTACTGTATCACGAGTGCTATAAATAAATTTCGAATTTTACTACTTCTGTACACTATTTTCTTCATCTAAAATTAGAATCAAAAAGTTATAATGGAGCTGAAAGAAACGAGCAATTTATGAAGTTGGGATTTCTTTTGAGTTGAATTTTAATGTATTATTTCAATATAAAAGATTTTGTTTTATGAGTTGACAACAATTAATATTATTCTTTTATTTCGAAAAAAAAATCTGAAAATGCTTCTTTTATTAATTCTTCAAAAGTAAACTTTTCTTTGAGGTATTAAACTGAAATCTGTTGTTTTCAGATTTTCAGATTTTGTAAATATTCTGTACTGCGAACTTCTAAGTTATAGTTGAATGTGAAGATTCTTAAGAACTAGTAAGGGAATAATCGCTTGAGTTTGTGAGACAGTAAATAAACTTGTAAAGGGTTAAAAGATCCTTTATTATTCAAAATAAGATTTAACAGAACTCTCTTGGAGTTGTACAATAAAGCCGACACTCGGGCTTGAACTTAAGATATAGCCGAAACTATCAAACTTCTAACGGAGTTGGCCCCTTAACGCTAATATACTGCGAAGCTATCAAGGGCCTAAAGTACGGCCGAGCGTAATAATAGCTTAAGAGAGAGTAGGCTAAAAAGGCGGTCGCGTGCTAACTAGAATCTCTGATTCTCTCTCACTAAGACAGTAGAACCTCGCGGTTATGTACCGCTCTTCCTCGATTTGAATCCAAACGTGATTCTAAAACTACGTTCTGGCCGGAAGTGGTAAATTGAAATTAAGAAGCGATAGGAAAGGAAGTTTAACTCAAAATTTAACCGTTAATAAAATTAACGTAATCCTTACAATTTAATAAATTTTAACCTTAATTTGCAAAATTGCTGCATCTCAGTAAAATTTAACTTATAAAATTATTAGCTGCATTTATTAATTTGTTCTCTCAATTATTTCCTCAAGTTTATGTTAAATTATAAATATTACTGTACAATTCAATGCTCAAAATTTTGGATTATTCTTTTCCTTTGGAGATTCAGTTGATGAAAATTTCACCAATTACTTTCCATTACAAGAATAAATAAGCATACTGTGTAATTTTGGTTTAAAACAAAATGGAAATACAATAAACGGAAATAAAATGATAAAATAAATTTGGGGACTCGATCATCTTCCATAGTAGACGTTACCATGGTTACGAAACATGCCAGAGAAAAAACTTTTGACATTGAGATGTCAATTCTAAAGTCACAGACTATATAACGTGTGGGCATATACAAGAAACATTGGTTCAGTTCATGACGTATACACAACAGTATTGTTAGTACCCAAATTCCACTCTATGTAATTTTGCTCTAACATTGTCATTTTCATAATAAAGAGAATTCTCTGAGACAATCTACTACATTCCTTTGTTAAGAGAGTTTTCAAAATTTAAGAGTTTGCGGTATCATACTTCGAGCTTTCCCGAGTAACTTACGTCAGTAATCCCAAGTCGATACATAATTCTATTTCTTATTTATATGGGTGATGGGAAAGAATATAAGTTGTTTTATGTAATATGTGATGTCCAAAAGCCTTGCTGTATAAAAGTATTCTATTACAAATTACATGTATTAAATTAGTACTTACTTATGACATTAATTTTCAGATCTTGCTCTAAATACTTCTCTTTAAATTATCCCAGGAAACAGTTCTCTTTTAAATCATTTCTTTGCTACCTTCTAAAATACTAATTGAAGATATTTTAATATATCAGTTCATTTGAAGATACATCTCGGTGTATTCAAACATCTGTGTTTTTATTTTAAGTGAAGGTTTGAAACCAATAAGTACATGTAATTATATGTAATTTTATTTCTTTACCATTTGAATGTAGAGTTAGTCAATCTAATGCTAAATTATGGCGTATATCATGCTAATCGTGGCATATGCTAATGCTAATTATGGCATATTATCATGGTTACACAATTTTAAACAACTAAATAATAGGAGACCTAATGCTTCTCGTTGTGGAGCATATGTGTAGCACTGAAAAGAAGAGTCCATTGACTAGGAGATAGATTAGGTTCTTCTGAGGTCCTGAAAACTTTCCTCGGGTTAGGATTGTAACATGTGTCGTTATCACATATTACAAATAAAGCAAATAATTATTTAAATTTTAGGTGAATGAAAAAAACCTAAAATATAAATAATTATTTGCCCGCTCTGTTGTATTAATGGAAATTAAACACAGAGGAATGCATACAAATAAAAGTATATAGGAATGTGCTGTACAAATAAAAAATATTAATCGGAATTTATGATTTAAGCAAAGTAATTCTTGAGCGTAATTACGAAAATGTAGATTTAATGCGGATAAATGTTTAAAATCCTGAAAACGCTTATCAATAATAATTTTGTGGAATCTGGAACCTTTAAAATTCATTCGCTTTGCTGCTTAGTTATAAGACATTAAAGTTGCAAATTA